GATTCAGTCTCGGTTGAAGTCTGTAGAGTGGAAGAGGACCCTACGCCTGCAAAGCTGAACTGTCTTGATCTCAGTGGGTTTTTGTTTATGTTCTGAAAGCTTTTAAGTGTTAATGTTAGCTTCTGTTAGTAGTTGCTTCATCAGACACGTCTAGTTAATATTCATGCGGCAGTCTCCAATGCGTCGGCCCAGATAACACCTCTTCTGGCCCTAATGAGGATTATTAAACCCAGCTATCAAATCATGAAACTGATACTGAAACAATTCTGTCCTGTTTGTTGCTAAAGGAAAAGATAAAATGTAGATCACATGTCTTGTTCTTGGTTAACTGAACCAGTTTTGGCAAATAAGGGAGTTTGAAGGCACTTTGTAATGTTAAGCTGGGTATTTCTGCCTCCTGTAGCATTCTTGCTGTTTGGAGAACGTTTTTAGTTTTCTTTCCCATTTCAGCTCTGAATGTGTTTTTGCTTTATTCAGTCATTTTGGACTGCTCTTCCAGGTCATGTGGCAGATGGAGGTGTGTGTCTACAGTGAAATCTAAAAGAGAACATGTTGCTTCTGTACAGCTGGTTTAAGCCCATCTACATCATTCGTCTAAAATAGCAACCTGAACTTGGTTTCATCCAATAGATTCCTTTCCATCCTTCCCTCGAGTCTGAGAACACTTTTGTTTTGGGAAAGGAGGGACCCATGGAGTGTCGTCATGGCGGCAGCAGAGTGCTTTGCTGAGGTGATGTTTAGAGCAAATAAGGGCCTGGGGCTGGACCTGGGAGATAAAACCGCACTGCTGAAGTTTCTACTGAAGATGGAGGTGAGGAGAAGAGGAGGAGAAACCAATGAGAAGCTATAACGGATAAATTCAGTAATGATGAGCAGTCATGGCCTGGTTTGGCCATGCCTTAGCCACCTTCTCCTTATTGTGTTCCAAAATGTTTGTAACCACCATGTCTTTGTTTCCTGCAGGAGCCACCGATGTAAAACAATTTAGGGACAACTTTCTCCTTTTTAAACCAGACTTGCAGTGGTTTGCTTTTTGTCCTTTTTTGTGTGAAAACATTACCCTTTACAACTAATTGTTGTGATTTTATGACTTCGTAGTTCCAAATAGTTTCCTGCAAATATGACAAGACAAGACAGCAAATTAAACTTTTAAGACGGTTTTTGTTTGTTTGGGTTTTTTTGTATTTGTACTGTAGAAGTTCCTCAAACTGCAAGTGTTCTGATGTGCTTGCCTTAGCAAACTTGGCTTACTTAGGTAGCATACAACAGGATATTACACTTGCTAACTGGATTTTTCAGTTGGCTTTATGATTATGTGAAATGGTAGCAGCAGGAAAGGCACCTGCCTCGCAACAAGTGAGGACAACTGATACATATGGGTTTTTTAATCCCGGGTACATGTGAAAAATGTGTGAGAAGTAGCCGACCAGTGTTCTGGCAGGAAGGATTTTTGTCTCTGATGGAAAGGATAGTTTTGTTGTCTGCCAGCCTGGCTTCTGGAAGGAGAATTTCGTACAGCGTGTTGCCATGAGCGTTAATATCTCCTAAACTTGAAGCTTTACACCCACACTTCACAACATAAAGGGGAAAATTAAAACTTTATTTTTAATTCTAACAGTACATTTTAAGGACTTCTGCAGTTATACCGTTCCCTTCTCTTGAGTTTTGGATTCTCTTCCCTTTAAAGAAGTTGATGCTCAAATCTAATGATACAAAGTTAATAGGACAGGTAGGACTTTTGATCTCCTGAAACTTTATCCATTTAGCTTCCCGTGTTGCAGTGTTTTGAAATGAGTACTGAGATACTGTTTGGATATTCTAGTTTAAATGGGAAGTGCAAAAACTGGTATCCGTGCACGTAATGTGTCTGTTTTGCTAAGCTGATGGGTTTTATATTTCTCCAAAAATGTTACTTTGATTCTTAATCTAAAGCCCTAGTTGCATTCATAGATCAAAGTTATGGATGTTCCTTCAGATATTTGATCAGTCTTGGATCTTAGCATTATGGAATTAGTGCTGTGATGCATGTGTTGACCGCTCTCACTTTATAACTGCAGATAAAAGTGTTCGTTTACTGTAATTTAGAAACTCTTTGGGTTTTTTGCATGCTGTGCATTGGGAGCTTTTTGTCAAAAGAATTACTGACTTTGTGACATGTTTTAGTGCCATTCTTGGCTAGCAGTTTTCAAGGTGAATTAACTTTTTTCAATATTAGAAAAGATCCAAGGTGTTACTGCCACCATTAACCTACATCTCTTCATGATGGTGGCCATGCGTATTCAGGTGACAGCCACTTTCTCTTAAGTTCTAAAGCTTTGAGGCTATAGCTATCTATAGCAAAGAAATGGAGACAAATTTTTTCATTCTTCTTGAAACGCAAGGCTAATTCTCTAATCGGTTTGGTTCATCTTAATGCCTGCAGACAAGGGGGCACAATAGATGCTGCTTAGACTGTTACATATTCTCCAAACGAGTTTGTTTTCTGTAATATTTTTTGTAGGTCAGATTTTGATGACAGCAAATTGCTGATCTCTCTTCTGTATGGTTCGAAACAAAGAAGACATAATGTTCCTTTTCTCAAAATCTTCATTTCTACAATCTGATGTTTATTTGCTTTTTAAGTTTTCAAGTTGCTAGTTCTAAGGTTGTTATAGATGACATACCATAATGTAGTATGCTATTGGGCTTGCACTTCGAGCATGCTAGCAGCCTGCCAGGTTTCCTTACAGGAACTGACAAAAAGCTTAATGACTTCTTTGTGAGTTGTTTTGTTTTTAATCCTAGACAGATAAGCTGGAAATATTGGGAGAAGCTATGATCCACTTGTGCGAAGACTGAAAACCAAAATTTTTAACAACTTTGAATGAGTATTTCTGTTTCCACCACCCAAAATAAATCACAGCTGGAGGAATCAGGGCTAAAATGAGAATAACAATTGGGTTTTGATGATCTGGCTTAAGTAATTTAGTGAGTTTGTGTGAAACTTTTGAACTGTGATTTGTGAAGATGCAGATCACTACTAGTAAATGTAGCCAGGCTGGACAGGCAGGACTTAATGTTGTAGTGCCAATGGGAGGTTTTTCAAAGGACGTTGATCGGAGTCCTTTGGCACATCGTAAAATGTTGATCCTGAGTTAGAAAGGACCCTTCTGCCAATGCTTTGAGGAAGATTAAATGTTTCTAGGCATTTCTTCTACAGTGGTGACTTCTTCTATGGTGGTGATTTCTAAATTCTTTAGTTTACTAGTTTTAATCATATGGCCAGCCATATGTGAACTATGATATAGTTTGTGACTAGTAGTAGATCCGTCTTGAGGTGTGTTTTCTGAACTTCGAAATTCTAAGTTTGCAAAATAGCTTGTCACCAGTTCAGAGGCTATTCAAAGTGTAAACCAGTCCGTTGCAGAATGTTTCCCAGGATGTAGGAATGACACTAAACATTGAGTCATTTCCTTGAGGCTTTCCGCAATTTAGGCTAAGGGAGCTTGTCTTGGGGTTTTGTGCTTCAAATAAGATACAACTGGCAACTGTAAATAACTTTCTAGAGATAGTTTGGCCAAGGTCTTTCTGTCAGTGTAACCAACCAAAATACTAACCAGGACAGTGGGAATCGCAGCTGTTGGGCAATATATTTCTTGTGCTGTAGTTATTACTTTTTGTTTTGTTTCTTAACGGAGCAGAAATATTATGTTGATTAGGCATGTTATCTACCTCATTAGTAATCTTCATTGGCTTCTAAAAATTGGGACTACTTACACAGAGGATATTAGTTAGCCATTTGGTGGTTTAGACATGAAATTTCACTAACTTCACTACAGAAATGGTAGCATAAGAATGGTCTAGCCTGGAAAACCACAAGGGCTGAGACTCCTACAAGCTCCTGAACTCCTTGTCCTAGGGCATGAGCATAGTCCTGTACTTGAGAAGAAATGAGAAAAGTGCAAAAGAAAGTGTCCATGGTGTGGGCACTGCCAGAAAAGGTGAGCTGCTTTTCCCGTTTTCTCTGAGAAGGAGGAGGAGAGGAGTGGTGGGTTAAAGAAAGTGTCCTGCAGTGATCCGTGACTTGGATCACACTGAATAGGCTGCAAACACCCTGTGAATCTACTGAGGTTCCTAGTTTAAGGCATCAGATACCTTTCAGTTTATTTACAGAACAGTTTCCAGTACATTGTTGAAACTAATACTTTTAAAGATGTTAAAACTTGTATTTGAATTTTTGTCGATGCCATTGTTTTTCTGTAGAATGACTTACTTCCTTGCCTGCAGCTGTGTTGTCTGTAGAAAGTCTTGTGTGAGGAACTCCAATGTATTAGCAAAAATAAAGTTTGAAACTAGTTGATTTGCCATTCAGAGCACCCTGGTTTGTTGAGCTGGGACTGACGACTTCACAACTATCAAGTGATTCCAGGGCTCTTGAAGTGTTTCTGACTGTTATAGCAATGATTACAATTGCAGTATACTTCATGCAGGCAAAGACATATGCCCTATATTTTGAGAGTATGAGTCATTGTTTCCAAAATTTTGGTGAGAAGGGCAGCTGACAACTGTTCTTGATCTGAGTTTTCAAAAGAGGATACCACAAATGCAGTATGGTCAAATTGATGTGCCCTATATTTTGGGAAGTTTTGATTTCCATTTAACTATATCAGAGTGTGAAGGCAGCAGAGTTAGGTAGCAGTCTTTATCTGGATGCTTTATCTGCATGCTAACTACCTAAATGGCGATTTTTAATTATTCATAATAAAACACAGTGTCTGAGGAAAGGGGAGAACAGGGCGGGACTTGATCAATGCTAAATTTAACGAAACTCTTGTTCCTGTGCAACAAGAAGAGATCTGTGTCGATGATCCGGTGATGTCATCTTTGCCCTTTGGATGATGTGTCCATATAACATACGTACAGTCTGCTTCTGTAGAAGCAGCTTACGCTTTCCTTGAATTGACACAATTTGCCTTCTACACAGATAGCATATTACGTGGATTCAGTTTTACAATCCATCCAGCCGTAGACATGTAGTAATGTCAAGCAACATTAAACATTTCCAGGATAATATCCATTGCCACAACCTTTCCCTATTTCTCTGTTGAGAGTCTTCCTCCACCCCCACCAAACTTCTCTAACGTGTTCCTGACATCCCGCGTGCAGCGCTGAGCAGATATAAGCTACCTTAGTGTCGCAAGGAACGCAGGTAACGTTGGCACACGTGACATACTGTACTTAGCTGTCAGACATTTGAGTTTCGTTTTGCTTGATGAAATGGTGTTAAATGGGGTTCATCAGCCTTAATGGTAGTTTAGCAATTTTACCTTAATTTTCATGCTGATTTGTACAATTTAATTCTTATTATTGGTTGTCAACTAACATCAAGTACGTCAGGCATCTATATTAGGCTTGGAACCACTAGTTTAGGCCTCCTGGTAGAAGCAGGACTTAAATGATGGCTTGCATTATAGGAATAAAATGGTTGGTGGTTGATGGGATGTATAGATTTTAGTTGGGTTTTTTTTAATGTAGGAAATATAAAAGTTTGGTGAAAGTTGTAGTAGCTAAAATGCTAGTTTTTGATCATCTCAAGGAGTAAAGATTTTGCTGAAGTGTTACATTACTTTCCAGAACAGATATTAAAGGTCTTTTATAAAAGCTGTTTTCTAATCGGATCTTGCTTTTTGTCTTTCCCTTTATAGCTAAACCAGGTGGACGGGTGAAATGTCAGTATATTTCTGCTGTGGATAAAGTGATCTTTGTGGACGATTATGCAGTAGGATGTAGGAAAGATCTCAATGGCATCTTACTGTTAGACACAGCTCTGCAAACGCCTGTTTCAAAACAAGATGACGTGGTTCAGCTTGAATTGCCGGTTACAGAGGTAAGATATGACGAGGGGAAAAAAAAAGGGTACGTGAACAGCTCTGTCAGAAATACTGAAACCAGACGTTTGACCCTGAGTTTCTGGTGTGATATTAACAGTAGGTAATGGAAAAGTTTCTTAGTTATTAGCTGTCATAGGGCAGTAGCTTTTTGCACTTACGCATGTCTCAAACAAATAAGAGCTTGCGTCATCAAGAGCACATTATTTGAGACAAAAGAACTTTTTAGTGACCAGAAATAAAGTCTTGTTTCCAGAGCTTTGCAGTGCTTTTGTGTGGCATCTACATGCACTTCTAGAAGTCAGTCTGGGCTGCTAAGCATCCTTTAATATTTTTGTTTTAGGCTTTCAGGGAAAAAAAGACAATTAAAATCAGCTAATACAGTGTTGCTACTTGGGAAGAATGAATGCTGGAATCTAACTTTTCCAGCTTCGTCAGTTGACCTAATGAAGGACTTTTTTCCCTGCAAACTTGACTTCCGTTTTATGTTTGGATTATCGCAGCTGGAGCATGATTCCTCCTGGTTTCAGACAATGTAACTAATCACTTTAAGAGAATCCAATGTACACATATTTTCTTAGAGTGTAATGGTTAGGGTTTTGTTGCATTGGTTTACCTTCAGCTAGCATAGCATTTATTAGGTGAGGTGGCATGTACATTCTGATTTTCAGATGTTGCCTAATACAAGACAGCTAACAATTGCTTCTGTCACTCGGTGACGAGGAAAGTAGCTTTCACCTTTGTAGTGGTCATGAAGCAAAAGACCTGGAAGTAAATCTGTATAACAATTTTAATTACAAGCGAGATTAATTCTTTGGGAGAATTGTAGAGCATCTGCCAATGGTAGTACTTAGAACAGTGCTTACTGTCGAAAAACCAAAACCAGACTAATAGATCCAGATTCTGAATCTTTAAAGCACTCTGAGAAAAGACCACTTCCCACTCATCTCTGTGGGAAATAAATTTATATTGAATGATGCACTACCACCACAAACTTATCCTAAGCATTGATTTAAAATATTTATGTGCGCATGGAATATTGAATAATAGGTGCTTATTATGAACCAAGAATGTGTGTTATATGTGAGGTTTTTAACTACTTGTCTTGAGTAGGAGTAACAGCAATAAAATCTTACTTCATAGAGGTCTCCAAAGGGAGTTTTCCAGGTTCCACAGGCTTGCTGCCACTGGCATCATTTTTACACCCTTTATGGGGTAACTGCAAAATCTTGGTATGTGTGGCTGAGTGTGAAGAGACTGACGGAGGTCAGCCTTTCCTTTCCTAAGTTGTACTGTCACTGGTTTGCAGTCTCACATTGTTCAATACAACCTATAAGTTTGTGTCAGTTTTAGCTAAAGATTCTTTAGTTCTAAAGAGTTTACAGACCCTTATTTCAAGGTTAAAACAGTGCACTTCTCTGTAAAGTTTCTTCTTGTAGAAAAAGATTGGAAGATACAGTGGTTCAGTAGGAACAGATTTGGGGAGTTCCTGGCAAATCAGTGAGGTGGGAGGAAAAACATTATCAGTCTTCAGTTCTCACTTTTAATTTTAAAGAGGAGGTACCCAGACCACAGAAGATTTTAGTAAATATTAAGCAAATATCATACAAATGCATCAGTCCACCTCTTTCATCATAGGAAGGTCAAGAACCTTTATCCAAGCAAGACCCTTTAATTTTTGTTAGTCTATAAAACTTTTCTGCAGATTTTTGCACTTAATTTAAGTAGTCTTTTTATATGATTGATATGCTGGTAATGCAGTGCATCTTTATGCATTTCTAATTGGCAGCATTGACAAGTTATGATGCAATCTCTATGCTGTTTTTACTTCCTCATAGAACACTGTAAAATTTATGAACTTCCACAGCTGTCTATTGTTCTTCTGTCATCTGCAAGAGACTTGGGAAGTATGAGATGCCACAAGAATTGTAATTGTCTTTTTATGGAAATCTGAGAAACGGATACAGCCTTAGCTAGAGAACTGATTTGCCTTATTTCTGTCTTTCTTCCCTTTACCTCCCCAAGGACGTAACCAAGTGGCCATTTGGTCCATTCTGTTTGGAGTAGTTTGTGGCTGTTTAAAGGACTGGCTGGCCGTTGCTCTTGGGAAATACTTCCCTGTGTTTGTAATTTGAAAGATCTCATATAACATTTTTTAGATGTTAGCTCACCTAACAGCAGATGCAGAAAACTCTGTGCTTCGCACATAAAGCATACCTTTGAATCTTACCTGACGACATGAAGTCAGCAGACAGAGGGACAAACTAGAAACAGATGGGACTTGGAAGGAAAAAAGTCTGTAAATGGATGTTTATAGCGCTGTTTTCTAGAGGCATTATTTCTGAGTTTTAAGAATTTCTGGGTTCTAAGATAGCCTGGTTTTTTTCTGCCTCATTTTTCAGCTTCATTATACTAGCATTGTAAGCAATTTATCTCTAATTTTGTCGCAGCGTTGTTTTTCTCATGATCATCTACTCTTTTTTTAAGATACAAAGCTACTGAGGAATACGTCAAGACTTTGATCTTGCTCTCACTTTTTGTCCCTAAAGCTGAGTGAATCCTTTTGAAGGGAAAGCATTGGGCAATAGTTGTCTCCTTTTTGCTTGGCTTTAATATATGTTCTGTTTTAATTGTTTATATGACTGACTTGTGTAACATCTGGTAATATTGCCCTTGAGGGAACTTGTAGTAATTACTGTCACTATTGCTGAAGTTTATCCATTGATTGGCCTGCAAAGTAAAATTTGAAACTACTGACTCAACTCTGGGTCTTTTATGGGAATTATGCTGATTTAATATATGATAAAATAGGATATGACAAATTACATTTCCCAGAGTAATGAAACAGGTGTAATTCTTGTCTGTAGTTATTCAGCGTGGGTGCTAACTTTTCTTGTACATCTGCATTTTAGGCTCAGCAACTGTTATCTGCTTGCGTAGAAAAAGTAGATGTTTCTAGCACAGAGGGATATGACTTATTCATCACACAACTGAAGGATGGTTTAAAAAATACCTCACATGAAACAGCAGCAAATCATAAAGTTGCAAAGGTAAGAATTTGTCTCTATTCTGTTTAACGTGTATTCCCAGATCTAATTTGCTTGGCTACCATTATTGAAGCATACAAAACGCTTGACTTAGTGTGGTGAATTTTGTTCAAAGAGGATGGAATGTATTATGTATTCCTTAGTTCCTCTGTGTGAAGTTTCCCTTGTTAAGAGAACGAAGTTAGTTTCTTGCTGATAAACCCAACTAATAAACCCAACTGAGCTTAAAATCTGAAGTTATTGACTTTCCTTGCATTACGTCTGTGTTACTTTTGTGTGTCTGTTCTTGTATTATTTCGGAAAATCAAGGGAGGGTGCAAGATGTGTGTTTGGTTTTGCTTTTGACAGTTTTGTGGTCTATTTGTTGTTTAGATGTTAAAATTTTAAAATATAAACTAGGCACATTTTTTCTTAATTTAGTGGGCAACGGTTACGTTCCACCTTCCTCATCATGTTTTGAAGTCTGTCGCCAGTGCCATTGTAAATGAACTCAAGAAGATAAATCAAAATATTGCTGCCTTACCTGTAGCATCCTCTGTGATGGATAGGTTATCTTACCTCTTACCCAGCGCGCGACCAGAACTTGGTGTGGGACCTGGTCGATCTGTGGACAGGTATATTAAGACAAAATAAGTGATGAATTTGGCCCCTTAGTTATATCAGAATAAGCTCCTAAATGACTTTAATTTACTTGCCAAAGTACGTAGTCCTATGATGTACTTTCTTGCTCTTACGCGTACCACTAATTAACTGTTTAATGCACAATGCGCTGTACATATTACTAACCTTAGTCCTGCGGCACCCGTAAAGGTTTCTCTGTTTTGTTTGGATTCTGACTTTAATGCCACACAAATTGAATTCTCTTTGCTCTTAATCCCAACATACGCTTTCAGAAAGGTAATGATTGCAGCCCTAAATACACATTAAAATACCTAGGTGGTATTTTAACATGCTTTCAGAAAGGTAACGATTGCAGCCCTAAATATACATTAAAATACCTAGGTGGTATTTTAACACGTTAATGTGGTGTGTTCACCTAGGCTTTACTCTTTATCATGTTTGATTATGGGTTTTATCTGAACAATCAGGTGTGTATGACTAGACACCTATGTTACTGGCTTTACTCAAAACTAGTACTGAAACCTTACTGAGACTGCAATGCTGAGGTGTTCAGAAACTGCATAGCTTTAAGAGCATATGTACGCCTCTTTTGAATGCAAAGAGAGCACTCATCTGTCTGCCAAAGATGGAGCATAGGTACTATGCTGCATCATGAAATCAGTTCCTTTTCCTTCATGCAGGAAAGAATTATGGCTGCATTTTGTGTTTTAGAAGTTTAGGAAGTTGTTACCTTTACTGAGTGTACATATGCTACTTCTGAACTGTCTAGACACCTGCTATGCATTTAGGGTCAGAGAAAAGTTTACCTCAGACTGTTGCTTCATCTCTTTCTGATCCGAGTGATAATGTGTAAACCAGAGAGTAACCTGTTATTTTAACCTTCATCAGCCAAGACTAGTTAGAATACTGGTAAATCTTTAAGTCTGTGAATCAATTCCTTCTTGAAAGTTTCTATACAAATATTATTTTGCAAGCATATTATTGTTTCTTACAGCTCAAATAATTTAAGGCAATTGATTTAATCTCTTACTTCCCCTCCCCAAGCCTCCAGGTCTACCTGTACCTTGCCATATTGTATATTTGATTACAGCTCTCTCAGGTCTGTTTCTTAAGATGGTATGATGTCAAGTTAAGACAACCCTTATGTGGGTGTTGCACAAATAGTTTACTTGCTTGGTAGGAAATGTTTAATATATCCATTCTCTTGTAAGACAGCAAAAATCTCCTGAAACTGAGGAGCAGAAGCAAGAAGTAAGGCACTTTTCCATCTAGCAGTGCTAGTTCTTGTGATGATACTGGAGAACAAACTTCTGTCAAGGAAAAAGGAAAGCTGATAGTTGTTTCTTATGTACTGTTTCAGATGAGGGACATGCACTGAGCGAAGGTGGAAAAGAGAGGAGCTTCTTTTCTCTGTAGATGTTGAGTTGCAGAGGAGTTCATATTTTGTGACTTAGTAGTTTATAGTAAAAAGTATCGTAGTATGCAGTGAGTGACAAATGTTGCAGGGTTTGTACCATGTATTCAGTTCAGCCTGAAATACCTCTCTGGGGTCTTTTTAAATATGCGTGTTCATATCTATTCAACTAATAAACCCAAATTTTTGCAGCAGTTGTCATGTTAAAAAAAGCAACTCTCTAGTTCTTCCATTGGGCTAGATTCTGCATCTTCCCTAAATGCAGAATAGCTTTGGATATCTCATGCTTTTCTGCTGTTTGACCAAATAGGCTACCTGGAAGCTTATTTTATTAATCTTGCTTTTAAGGCCTGTAGGTTGTTGTATTGCTTTTCGTCTTTTACTGAGGATGTACTTTAGGGACCCAAGTGAGAGAACTTTGTAACTTTTCTGTAGTTGTTAAAGATAATTTTGAGGATAAGTTATCTGTAACTATCTGTGGTATTTCTAACGGTTACTAAAACATTGAAAATATCTGATAAATAGTTTTTTTATTCTAAGTGGCAGTTTTGGGTAATGTCAAATTTTTCACCCTTCTAGGTCTTTGATGTATAGTGAAGCTAACAGACGGGAGACATTCACTTCATGGCCTCATGTGGGTTATAGGTGGGCACAGCCAGATCCTATGGCTCAAGCTGGATTCTATCACCAGGTAAAAGGTTTAGTTGTTCTCAGTATTTCTTACCTAGGTGAAGGTTTGGGGAGCAGGGGAAGAAGTATTTTCTTTTTTTCTTTTTTTCCTTTTTTTAAAATTGATTCCTTCAGTGATGGAAATACAGTAACGAAAAAGTTTGTCATTCAGCTCTTTTCTTTTTTTAATTTTTTTTCCATGCCTTCAGGTTGCTTCTTTTTTTTGTATAGATCACAGAAAATACTGTTCTGAACTTCAGCATATAAACCAAACATTTTTAACTATCAAATTGATCTGAGTTAAACAACAATAATACAGGTGAAGTTGATTGTTACGTAGAGTCTCCTTGTTAGATTGTTGAGTAAATATCCTTAATTTTTATAGTGCAAGTAAAGCAAAAAAAAGCAACAAGCTTGACATCAGAGTTCTCTAACCATACTTTCCTAGTGGATCTTGGACTGTATTGTAACAAATGGTCCTAGATCACATTACTAAATTATTAAGCTTAATGAATAAATACAACCTCAACATTTTATTCCACTACTTTTGCAGTGCCACTAGAAGAAGGAAAGGACTCAATCACCTAGTTAAAGCATTTTGTAGCTCATACCTCTATAAATTTAAAGTGTTTCTTCTTATTTTTACAGCCTGCGTCATCAGGAGATGACAGAGCAATGTGCTTTACCTGTAGTGTGTGTTTGGTATGCTGGGAGCCTACAGATGAACCTTGGTAAGTTTAATGATGTTTGGAGTCAACTTAATTTTGTACTGAAGAGGTTAGAAATCTTTGGAGGACAAAGATCAACATTATCTGGATGGGATTTCTGGTGAGTGTGGGGAATGTCACTGACAAGAACAGATTTCCAGAGTGATTCTGTGGCACAAATCACAAAATAATTCCCTGTGCTGTGTCAGATTTCTGTATAACACTAAACCCAAGAAATTGAGGTTGGTTTTATTTTTTTAATTCTGATTTGCTATTCATTTCAAATTGTTCCATGGCAAAGATGGCAGCCAACATTTCTTTGCAGGGATCTAAACTCAATCTTATGTGTGATTGTGACTAGAGCACTTTTTTTTTTAAAAGTTCTTAAACTGCAATGGCCATGCAGTGTGTATTTGATCTCTATGTGAAGTTGCAAGATCCATTACTAGTTTCCTAAAATTGTGCATAGTGACAGAAGTGCAGGACCTTGATTAATTTTAAAAGGGTTCTTAAAGTAGTTTTTGTCTTATTTGGTACTTTGTAATCGTTGTTTGAACACATCAGATTCCTGACTTGCTGGAAACTTTCCTTTGTAATATTATCTTCATAATCCTTCTCTCTTCCTTTCCCTTGTTAGTTTCCAGACATTTTGTAGTAGTGTAATTGCTCTTTGCCATGTCTCTGCCTCGGGTATATATTGAGATTAGAAGGGTTTTTTTCATGCTTCTTGGTCAATGTGTCATTCAGGACTGTTTTCAATTTTGTTTTTTGTCAGTGTGGATGTAGAACTAAAGACAGGACATTGCTTCATTTATTAAGGTCACTTATAGTAATGTCTCACAATATTGGAATTCTAATGTACATTCTGTAGAATTTTATCTGCGCTTTTCTTCCTGAGGACATGACGGGCTACTGCCTATAGAACAATTTTTTTTTGAATGAACTGATGATATCAAGAGCAGTGTGTGTAGATTCCTCCATTTGAATATGAATATCCATTAAGTGATCAAAGGCTTTAATACAGTCTGCTGCTGAGAAACAGCAGGGAAGCCTGCATTCGTAGCTTCAGAACTCTCTTGTATGGTTTACTGTAGTACAGTTCAAACGGTTCAGTTTCAGCTTCACTTCAAGGGCTGAGTTTGTATATGATGCGTATGTTTTTCACAGTAAGAAATCAGTGTTTGCTCTGTTTGTTTTTAATATGAAAAGGTCGGAACATGAGAGACATTCCCCAAACTGCCCATTTGTCAAGGGTGAGCACACTCAGAATGTACCTCTTTCAGTCACATTGGCAACAAGTCCAGCACAATTTCCCTGCACGGATGGCACTGACAGGATAGCCTGCTTTGGATCTGGAAGTTGCCCTCATTTTCTAGCTGCTGCAACAAAACGAGGAAAGATCTGCATATGGGATGTTTCAAAACTTATGAAGGTATACAATATAAACAACCAGTTTTTATTAACTAATTACTGATTAAGCATATCTCGATTTAAATCAAAGACCTCTTCTGTTTTTTGTTGTTATTTCTCAGGTCCACTTAAAATTTGAGATCAATGCATATGATCCAGCTATTGTGCAGCAACTTATGTTATCAGGAGAACAGAGCTCAGGGGTTGACTCAAGGAGACCAACACTAGCGTGGCTAGAAGATTCATCTAGCTGCTCAGATATACCAAAATTAGAAGGAGACAGGTAAGCCAATCTACAAAATTAGAAATATGAAATGCTGCTGTGTAAGTGATAAATGCTGGTTAGTTAAGTCATGCTTTGTGAAACCTAAGATTGATAAGATTTTTTTTTTTTTCCATGGAGATAGTTTTTTTTAAATTGCTGTGTATCTGTACACAATTCAACACTTAAAAAGCAATAATCTAAATTTCTGTCTTTGAAACCAGTTCCATTTTATTCCTAAAAAAAATTCAGTTGTTATACTTCACTAACAGAGAGATTCCAAATCTCATTGCTGCCCTGTGCTGATGTTCCAGAGGCAGAGAAAAAAAGAGAGAAATACAGGTTTTGGAACAGCTTTTCATTTTAGTTATGGGTTATGCATTTCAGGTTTTGAAAGTAAAGGCTACTGGTGGACTTCTGGAACATGCTTTTTTCTGGTTGCTGCTTCTTAATTTCTGGTTATGTCGTTCTGAAAATAAATTCTGTGGATATGCTAGGAATTGCTTTCATTTTGTACCTTTAACACATGCAGGCAGAATCTGAACAATTAGACAGTCCTGTCACGAACTTTTAGATAGACTAGAGGGTATGCCAGTGCTTAGAAAGTGTCATGTGAGAAAAAGCAGTATTCTTTCATTTATGCTTCTTACAGTCTGTTACTGGAAACTCCTTTCTCACTTTACCAAAACACAAACAAAAGAGTGAGTAATTGTTGGAAAACTCAGGACAAAAGGTGTTTGTGGAGTCTTGCTGGTTTTCTGAATATTTCTTCTTAAACTTCAGCGTCACGGAAAGTAACAGTACTGCTGCATGCACAGGAAAGTAAACCTTTGGTTTTAAGTTTGGTTCCTACAGTACTGCAGAGCAAATACGAAGCTTGCTCTTCTGAAGAGGGGATGTAGAAACGTGAGCAACTTCAGAGTGTGGGCCCTAACAACCGCTGGGACCTGGACTTTTACTGTAGTGTTAGGGCTCTGAACTTCTTGAGAGTCAAAGAATTAAGCCAATTTTAAGAGCTGGTTAAAGGATAGTACAATTAGTACAGTCAGTGCAATCATAGTGCTCAGAACTAAGCCTCTTTCACTTCACTTGATTTATATGAAATTTACTATCGCTTTCCCGCTCAAGGGGAGGCTGGATGAGACTCAAAGTACTGAATTGTCGCTGTTTTGTTGTGAAGTGAAGGTTGATCAGGTTTGAGCCAAAAGATCTATTTCTTGGGTGTGAGGAGGAAGCATCCAGTTTGTTGTAATTTGGGGATCTGACTTGGTACTGTGAGCAGTTATCCCTGAAGCTGCAAAGGCATTCTTTTTTTTCACAGACATCCTCTTGTGTGTAAAGAGCCTCTAATAGGGAATTGTTTCTTATATTGGAAAAGCCAGATGCGTAAAATCTTTGTATATTGTAAGAACTACTGAAAGGCCGATTTCTCTTGAAGAGGTATCTTGAACAGAATCTGTGTTTATGAAAAATTGATTCATCTCGTAGTATTTTTAAAAGCAAGATGCCGTTCATACACCCTTTCTGTACTAGCTACAAAATTGCCTTGGTAGAATTGAAGACCAGTCTGGCAGCTCCACCTTTCAGAGACTATTTTGAGGAACTTTGAAGAAGGTGTCATCAGTTTTTAGAGGTTTTGTTTGTTTGGTTTTGTTTTTCATGGAAAGATTCCTGAGAACTGGCTTTCATTTTAATTCCTTTTATGTCTGAATTGTTGGGAATACAATAGCAGAATGAGGCAAGTGGAAAGCTGGTTTACTGGTTCGATGACAGAGGGAAAAAAATCTTTATATTGTTCGTGTCTGTGACCAACTCATCAATGGATATACAGTGCTGAGTAAAAGAAATGCTAGGTTTTAATACATATTGTATTTTTTACTAATTTTTTCCTTTAGTTAAATTTTTTAATTAAAAGTAAGAATGGAGCTACAGTGTACATAGTGTCATTCATGCATTTTTATTTTTTTTTTCAGTGATGACCTACTGGAGGATTCAGACAGTGAAGAACATTCCAGATCGGAATCTGTGACAGGTAGGTTATATCTGATCCATATAATAGTTTAGAGGTCAGGAGAGAAATTGTTTTTCTCAGGCTTTTGAATAAGCCTTGTCAAAACCAATGGTACTATATTCACTGTATTAGAAAAAGGGAAAAGATTGACCTTGGCGGCAATGCCAAATATTTAAGTCCCTGTTTGTGTGGTGGAAAGATTACATACAGGAGGAAAAAAACCCTACTTTGTTGGTTAATAAATGTCTTATTTGACAACAAGCATTGCTTGTCTTGCTGTCAATAAAACACACAAACCAAGTCAAAAGAACTTAGAACAGCAACAAATTACAGCTGTACAAAACCCTTCAGAATTCAGGAGATTGCCAGAGAGAATTCCTGTATCTTGATTATTTCCCTGTGGGTATGCACTTCGATAGAATATTCCTCTTCCTGAATAAAGATTTCGTATGGAAGCACAACAGTGCTATGCATGGTGTTCTTGTGCTATTTTCTTAGAGGTTGAATCATAAATTTTGGTGGGAGGGAGGGTTACATGCTTATTTTCCATAATTCAGTTTACATCTTTGAGTAAGGATCAGCAAGTGGGGAAAAAAAGACCGTATGCATGTGCATACACATAAGAAAATAGACTTGAGATGCAAAAAAGATTTTTTTCAACAAAAGTATTAGCAAAGGTGGTGCTCTGTCGTTTATGCGTAAATCAGCTCTTAGTCTGGGTTTGTATGATGTCCTTTGTAATCTTTTAAGTCTCTACATTACTTAGTTGAACTCTTCTATTCATTGTTGTTCTTACAGTACTGTTTAATTTGATCAGACTGTCTCTTTTAAGTTTTACTGGATTTTGTTTTATAATAGCTTGGAATTCTTTCTATTAGCTGGTCTGTTACACGGTGGGACGTATCAAGTTTTAGAGTAAAATGACATGTTTTCCAACCGAGATTGCAGAATGAATCTGCAGAATTGCAGATTTTTGGTAGTACTGGATTGTCTAGGAAGGAAGGAGAGTAATATATGGCAGAACATGAACTGAGTTGATTAGATTAGTTGGATTTCAGTATGGTGGTCTAGCCAAGTAGAGTAATTGGTGGAAATCTAGTGCTGGTTACTGGGAGACTTGTTATGAATGCTAATGTCCAGTTCTCTGTACTTTCACTCGTGTTGATAAAATGAGGAGAACCATTAGTCTGTGTGGAAGGAATGTTTCTGGACCTCTCTTATTGTTCCTTGACTATCAAATCTTGAACACATGGAATGTTTTAACATCCTGAAACTGTAGAGCAGTGATTTTTTTGCTTAATTATGAGGGTAAGTCCGTAATATATGCAATATGATTCCTTTTTGTTGAACATATGTTATATTAAATATGCTTAATTATGAGGGTAAGTCTGTAATATATGCAATATGATTACTTTTTGTTGAACATATGTTATATTAAATATTTTTGTTTTAAAGGGCATACATCACAAAAAGAAACTATGGAAGTCAGCCTTGATATAACAGCTCTCAGCATTCTTCAGCAACCTGAAAAACTTCAGTGGGAAATTGTCGCAAATGTTCTGGAAGACACGGTTAAGGATCTAGAAGAACTTGGGGCAAATCCCTGTTTGGCCAACTGTAAGAGTGAAAAGATGAAGGAAAAACATCTAGAACAACACAACATTCCCTTTCCTTGTTTATTAGCTGGAGGTCTATTAACATACAAATCACCTGCTACCTCTCCTGTTAGCAGTAACTCTCAGAGGTCACTGGATGGCTTAAGTAGGACTCGAGGTGAGAGTGTCTCGGAACAGGGATCAACTGACAATGAATCCTGCACTAATTCAGAACTGAATTCCCCTCTGGTAAGGAGGACTTTACCTGTATTGCTGCTATACAGCATTAAGGAATCTGATGAAAAAGCAGGAAAACTTTTTTCACAGATGAACAATATTATGAGTAAAAGTATACATGATGATGGTTTCACGGTTCCACAGATCATTGAAATGGAGCTGGACAGTCAGGAACAGTTGCTGTTACAGGACCCCCCTGTGACTTACATTCAGCAGTTTGCAGATGCTGCAGCCAACCTAACTTCTCCGGACTCGGACAAGTGGAGCTCTATGGTTCCCAAGCCTGGGACATTGGTCCAGTGCCTGCGTCTGCCAAAGTTTGCGGAGGAGGAGAACCTGTGTGTAGATTCAATCACGCCTTGTGCAGATGGAGTTCATTTGTTAGTAGGACTGCGGACTTGTCCTGTCGAATCTCTGAGTGCAATAAATCAAGTAGAGGCCTTGAATAATTTAAATAAATTAAACTCGGCACTATGTAATAGAAGGAAGGGGGAACTAGAATCGAGTCTTGCTGTGGTGAATGGCACGAGTATTGATGTAATACAACATGAGTCACCAGCAGATGTACCTAATCCTTTAATAATTCAACCTGAACAGAGAAGTGTTAGTGGTGGATACCTAGTGCTTTATAAGATGAATTATGCCACTAGAATAGTTACTCTAGAGGAGGAGCCGGTAAAAATCCAGCATATCAAAGACCCCCAAGACACAATTACCTCAATGATTTTGCTCCCACCAGATATACTGGATAATCGAGAGGATGACTGTGAGGAGCCTGTAGAGGAAATACAATTAACTTCTAAAAATGGCAGTGGGAGAGAGAGAAGATCTGAGATACCTACTCTTGGGCACCTGGTAATAACTACTCAGGGAGGATATTTAAAAATACTAGATCTTTCAAACTTTGAAATTCTGGCCAAAGTGGAGCCACCTAAAAAAGAGGGCACTGAGGAACCAGATATGTTTGTCTCTGTGATATACTGTTCGGGCACAGACAGATTATGTGCATGCACCAAAGGTAAGATTTTTCTTTAAAAAAAATTATTTTAAATGCTTGATTTGACTGTGTTTGGATTGTATTATAGAATGTTAGAATCTAACTTTCAAAATAATAATAGACAAATTCCATTGAATTTATTTACAGTTTAATTCTGTTCTAGGGAACATGAACTCTAGTTAATTCCTCATCTTAAATGTAGATTTTAGTCTCTAAAATGGGAATAACTCTTGGGTATGTCCAGTGTGCTGGTAAATGTGTTCCTGTAGAGGCACATATTTTCTTAAATCCAAAACAAATAAAGATAATTCTAGTATGTAATTATTTCTGTGCTAGAGATCCACGTTTCAGAAAAATGTCCCGTCTGTAATTGGCGGTATTCAAGAGGTTAGAGAAGATAATGCTTTTATACCTTATTCCAGTGGTCAGTTGTATCTTCTTTCAGATAGGGCTGCTGGTTCTGCTTCAGCCTTTTGCAATTGGGATTTCGCTTCCTTGAGCCTGAGAGCCAGACTAGCCATGCAGGATTGTTAAATCTTTTTCAAAACGAACACAAGACACCTGGGGGGAAGAAGGCAGGTAGAAAGGGAGTGTAACTGAAGTCCAGGCACCTGCTACTTTGTAGAAGTCCCTAAACCACCACACACCCTACTTCCTTGTGTCACATCGAAGCAGCTCTGGTTGTCATCCAGGCAAGTTCCTACATGCACCAACGTCTCATTTAGTTCTCTGGTGGAAACGCTCAGCCTCTCAGAGGGGCTAAGCTGATGGGCTGGTTCACACGTTTCGAATGAACTCCCATCAATATCATGTTGAACTTTACTAGAAGAATTTAAAGTGACACATTTCCTCCTTTCATGATGGTGTCGTGTTGATGACACAGTCCTCCGATGAGTGGTTGGTAAACTCAAATCAGATTTACCTGTTTCCAGCAGATAAAGTCAAGCTGATTTAAAAAATTTCATTCCTAAAAAAAATGCTAAGGGCCCTGTGTTTATCACTTACCTACCAAGAGTTTTAGTAGTGGAGATTTTAGATTTGCTTTTTTTTAGTATGGATGAAAACATTGCATGTTAGCAACTGCTATTTATGTTTGCAGATTCCCAATGGACACATTCCTATTTACTAAATTGTTCTGATTTGGTAACTGCTTTTGAAGAAATTTCTATTAAGCCGTTCCAGCTTTATTTAGCAATGCACACTTTTTCCTAGTTAAAATGGAACTCTAAGTGAAAGGTTAATCGCCTTTGAAAACTGTTAGTGTATCGTATCCATGTCATAATGTTTTTACATATACTTTGCTGATCAAACTGCAATCTCATTTTAAAAAAACTCAAACCTTGCTAAGGTTTTTTCTACAGAATTGTACTAGTGTTAATTTCTTTCTTACATCAAATCTATTCTGTCTTTCTTGTGTTTTGAGATGAAGGATAACAGTTAAAGGGCTTATCGTTACTGTGCATGGTACTTTCCCATCCAGTGTTAGCGTGCATGGTAATTATATTCTTGTAGCATTTGGTGTTGTCTGAAGCTGTTTCGGGACCTTGAGTGTAAGATATGCAGGTCTGTTGAGTTGGGAGCGTTTATTCTGTGCGCGTAGGAGTATTTGTCTCTTCTGCCTAGATAACTACCACCTCTGTTACTGACTGGAGAATACTTAATCTTCCTCATAATAGACAAGCACATCAGTCTGCTTTTTCAATAAACATCTCTGTATTGTTCTCTCTCTGAGAGTGTTATAATAACCATCCAGTAATTTATAAGTAGCTTTGTAGCCATCCAGTAATTTATAAGTAGCTTTGCCGTGACTTCTTTTGTTCTTGCTGCCTTTAAGATGACTGAGATTTATTTGTTTTTTTTGTCCCTTCTGTAGTCCTGTATACCACAGGTGTCCCTCTGCCCTCAAGTTTCCTCTTTTGAATATGGTACTTTGATAGCTCTTTTTTTTTTTTATCCATTGATTATTCTTATCTTTCATTTACACCCACTGCAACTCTATTTGGAACTTGACTTTCTTCTCTGCAACCAAATTAGAATGAACTTCAGAATTCGTTATTTTCATTATTTAAATGTCTTTAGGAGCTTTCCATTTCTGTTCTTTTTTTAACATTTCAGTCACTTCTCTTGGTATAATTTTTCCCACTTTTGAGAAATTAGGTCCAAAGCCATCATAAATATTTAGGGACCAATGTCCATTAGAAGTCTGGATTTAAGAGTCTGATACTAGATATGTCTGAAGCCTCGGGGTCCTAATGTTTATGCCAAAATACAAAGCTTTGTGAAGAATGACAATTCAGGAATACTGAAAGAAAAAGCAAATCAAAAAGCTCAACTATTAATGGAAATTTTTTAATCCTGTTATCTTATTGTACATTTTAATAACTTGATGTAAGGAATAGGTTTTGCATAATTTGTTGAGTAGTAATCATCCTTTAATCTTTCTGCTGTAAGTACGTAAAATTGCTTGCGTATCTGCTAGCTGGCTGAAGAAATTTTTTATAATCATTATTATTTTTCTTAAATGCAGTTTTCTTAGGCTTCTTCCAAAATCACTTTGAGGTCTTTGCTCCCTTATATTTACGACAACGTATGGGATGGTACCTGCAGTCTGACAGTGTCAGGAAGATATGTGTTGAAAGTAGAATAGCTATATTTGCTGATGTATTCAACATTAATCCTTCTAACAAGTAGCTTCTAGTGCAAAGACGTAAGTGAAAATGTTAAGTAGAAGATCTGGAACCTACATGCCCTGGAAATGCTTGAATGTTGTTGGAAACTATTCGAGAATATAAGCTGAGCGGTATATTCTTTCCTGTTTACTTGCTTGGATGGTGGGAATAGGCAAAGAGGTACTTCAATGTCTGAAAGTTTTAAAAAAAAATAACCCCTCCCCCCCCCCCCCCTTCCTTCTTCTGCTTGTTGATGTTTTCATTGGTATATCATACAATTTTTCCCATAGCTGCCTTCAAGACTTGCAGAGTCTAGCTGGAGACCTGTGTCTAGCAGTGTTCCCCAGGGGTCAGTTCTGTGTCTAGTCCTGTTTAACCTGTTCTTCAGTGACCTGGATGAAGGGACGGAGTGTACCCTCAGCAAGTTTGCTGATGATATGAAACTGGGAGGAGTCACTGATACACTGGAAGGCTGTGCTGCCATTCAGCAAGACCTGGACGGGTTAGAGAGGTGGGCAGAGGGGAACCTGATTAAGTTCAACAAGGGCAAGTGTAGGGTCCTGCACCTGCGAGAGGAATAACCCCATGCACCAGCACGGACTGGGGGTTGACCTGCTGGATAGCAGCCCAGCAGAGAAGGACCTGGGAGTCCTGGTGGACAACATGGACATCAAGTTGACCATGAGCCAGCAATGGGCCCTTGTGGCCAAGAAGGCCAATGGTATCTTGGGGTGCATGAGGATGAGTGTGACCAACAGGTCGAGGGAGGTTCGAC